TATTTTTCCAGCACTCACTTCTGAGAAACTAGTGTCACCTCAAAAGTAGTTAAACCAGTATACCGAATAAACCTGCAAGCCTAACAGATCAATAAGACAGATTCAAGGAAAAGAATGGCTTGAAATCAGCATAAACTGAATTTATTTTATAAAAATCAGTATTTCAACACAAAAATTTACTATCCAGTAGATCCGTGGAAATCCTACATCTGTCCTGGCCGTTGTGGCAGTTTTACACAAGTCTTAAGTTTTCTGCAGAGAACAGCAAACATGCTAGCTGATCAAAGTATCATCGTATTAAAAAACCTGAACAACTATCCACAGAAGTCCTGCATAGGAGCATCCGGTTATTTCTTCGCATAAGTGATTTTCATGGCATGAGATGGAGTAATCTTGAATCCCTGGAGAGCATCTCGAGCAGCTCCTGCTTGATTCTCATTTTCAAACTCCACAAATGCAATGTCGTGGCGTCCAGGCACTAAGCGTACTTCTTTGAAGCCAGGAAACCTTTAGAATAAGGTGAAAAAGTCAGATAGTATTTCCTACATTGATAATTCATCTCTCTTCAGTAGCCATAAGCCCTTGTCATAAGCATCTACTAGTATAATAGTTACTACTAATGAAAGATTTAAATTGAAGGGTTTTACATGTGCAGTCCTTAGAACCATGCCTCAATTAAGGATCATTATTTGGAAGCAATTTAATCAGTCTTGTGCACATATGGAAGCAACTAAAGCTAGTTTTAAAGACTTTATGACAGCAGGAGCAGTTTTAATATTACAGTCACCAGCTTAAATCCAGTGCAGATTGATAGCAGATAACTTACACAATCAAAACCCACTACGAAAAAAATCAGATTTGCTTTCTCCACTAAGCCATCACTGCCAAGACGACAGATGTCAGTTCTAAAACAAGGAACTGAAATACTTCCAGAAGAAACTCTTACGTCTAAAAAGTCGGCTTGCCAACTGAAAAAAAGCATACAGGTAACAGAAGAATTCAAAGGAGAAGTCCTTTCTGTTCAAAACTTACTGATTGAATAACATGGACAGCATCATCTCATTCGTTTCCTCAGGCAAGTTATTAAGGAAAAGGATATAGTTCGGTGGGTTATCAGGCACCTGCAACAACAGAAGATCAAAGCTCAGGAGATCATACACAGATATTGGTTCCTCTGCATCTGTCTGCATGATTATCTGAACCAAGGCTCACATATCCTCAGTTTTGCTCAGACCACTGCTAGCTGGATTTCAGTATACCTTCATGCGATACACGGCAGAGCCCCTCGGTTCTTTTAGAAGTATGTATTATCTTGGAGAGGCTCTTATTTCCACAAAAATCACAGTAACGTATTGTCTTAGACATCACATTTAAACTTGACAACTCAACAGCTGTTACCGCAGTACTCTCAGCACTGCCAGGGGTGGGACCCAGGTGCCCAAGCACTGGCTGTCGCACTGTCCAAGATACAGTGGAAGAACCTATGAAAGACTCGCATCTTTCCGGAAGAGCAGTGGGAGGCCAGGATAAATACCTGTTCATCTACAGTAGTACCAAAATATTGAGTATCTTTGGGCAGCTGAAACCCACAAAACCCACATGGTTTTACTATTTACTCTATTCAAATTTACTAATTAGAACCCCCACTAGAGTTAAAGCTTTAAAGTCTTTACAGATTTGCCTGCTAATATGAATTTGTAAAAACCCACCAGACACAAGGCTGAGTAGTCAGTTTGCTAACACCGGACTGAACAGCTGGAGTTTCCCTAAGTCATCAAGCAGATTACAAAAATAAAAGCAAACCACACACCACAACTTCAGATGTCCTAATAATGCCAAGTTAATGCCTCAGCAGAACAATTCCCTTCAGCTGGCAGAAATATCCCAGGCAGTGCCATTAGGAAATAAACTTCTGACATTCAAACAAATACCTAAATACTCAGTGTTGTGTGTCGACGCAAACTGACACAGACATATTGTGCCTTGTTACAAATGAGACCCCAAAGAAAACCCACACTGGGAGCAAGACATTTTCCCCTGTGGATTATGCATGCAGTTCCCAACAACAGCACTCAAGAAAGAGACGAAGGGCAGGCAAAGATATTCTTCCACAGTGTTTGCCCTCCTGCAAATCCTGGTTCTTTAGTACTTCACTTCTACCACAGATGAATCATTTAGAAGGTCACTGAGCAGACAAGATGAGCAAAGCATAAGGAGTTGTTGCTACATCTCCACACAATCCCTTGGAAAATAAGACACTTATGAGAAAAAAAAAAGAGTGAGCAGAGGACCGCTGAACTTCTCAAAGGAGGCTTTTCAGGCAGATATTCTGGCACCCTGTGTAGTCTTCCTGCTCCTTCTCTACTACTAGAACAAAGTAAGTTAAAGGGAATTTATTAACAAAGAAAAAAAAAAAGAATCCTTCAACTGATACTAAGCACAGGCCAAATTTAAGAATCACATAGGATTTGTTAATAGTGCCGTTTTCTGTACAATAATGAGAAACTGCAGATTTTCAATTCATGTCAACCAGATGTAGTAAAAGTGGGATTTGTTTACTGTGATTTAGCTGTCAGACAAATGTCTCTGAGAACAAAAAGGAAGCTGTAAAATATATCCTCAAATTTTCACGTGCAACAAACTATTATTCATAGAGAAAAATTTTATAAACATCAGTGCTTTTAGTCACAAAAAACAAAAGCATTACCTGCTGGTTCTGTGCTGCAGTCCCTGGGGCATTGGCTGAATTTTGTGTTGCTCCCTAGTAAATAAGTACAAAATAGTTTTACACAGGTGTTCTCTTAGAAATACATAAACACACATGACCATGTTTCTGTACAACTCAAGATGTTAAGGTTTTTTTAAACTACAATCCAAGGAATATTTGTTACTTTTGAGACACTTCCTGAAGGGAAACAAAGCATGTGAATTCTGATGAACTCCAAAGCTAGGCAAACAATGAAAAAATATCAGTTGTATCTGATCTGACTAATGGCTGACAGCAAATCACTATTTCTCCACATCACAAAATTTGGTTTAATAGACAGGAAGGAAGCAGTTTTGAAAATGAAGGCCTAGACAGGACATACCTAATAGGAGTAAAATAGGTTTTTCCACTTAGGACTCCAGTTTAGCAAGGATAACTAAAGCTATTACCATAATAGCTAGCAGCAATTATTTCTTCTTAAGAGATTTATATAGAAAGATTGATATTTTTTTTTTTAATAAATCCTGAGAAATCTGAATATTCTACCCAGAAAATGTTGCTTTCTATAAATACTCTTCTCTCTCCTTGATACTAATTTGTGCCTTAGCAGGAAGCGTAGTTAAATAACACAATAATCAAACTCTCTGCCTTGATGTTTTCTGCTATACTTCAACAAACAAATTACTAAATGTGGTTAGTTTAGGCCAGGCCAAGCCTCAGCTGAGATATCTTCCAAGCCAACTCCTTTTCATCTTCCTGTAAATGAATTATCTTGCTCCCTTTTACCATTCTCCAGTGCTTATAGAGCAAATATGGCATTAAAACACTGAAGGGAAAAGCTGGTTGAGCACTTCTAGCATTAAAGATAAGCACACACCCCTCCTTTTTCTCCCTTTTTAAAAAGTAGTCAGTTTCTACTTTGGTATATTGTACCTTTGCCCTACATCTTTTCTTTCATCTGGTAATAGAAAAGGAGGGGGAAAAGAAAAAAGGGAACAGCAAGGACTATATAATCAGCATCCCTTCCTTCAAATTCTAGTCAGTGCTCAAGAGCTATCAATATACCCCAATTCAGGGAACTGAGAAGTATCAAAAGACAATACTTAAACCTAAAAAACCCCACAGTAATTTAAAACAGTTTTTGTGTTTGTTTTTTCTTTTTTTTTCTTAACAGAGAAGCAACTTACCTGGATAACCTTTTTATTTGCCGCATTTGCTGACTGCTCCAGAGATTTGGCCTTCTTCTTCTCCTTCCTTTTTTCCTTATCAGCAAAAGTACCACGCATTTTAGAGATGATATCAGAGTCTGTTTTTGCATACTGAATACGCTTTTTAAAAAACAAAACCAGAACATTTTGCGGTTAATAATACCGAACGTTTTGCACCAGTTTCATTAACTGTGTTCTACTGTGAATTTACACATTTTTTTGCAGAACTTATTATATTAATAATATAAGCTGTAGGTATGTTTACAGAATATCTAATCCTCATAATTAATTCTGAGCACAACTAAAAAACTCTAAAAAAACCCCAAGATGGAAATTACTAATTTTAACTCCTTGAAATCAGAACTCTAGTCATCCAAGAGCATGTTTTTAACATCTGTCAAGGTAACAGGTACACAAAGCCATATAAGGACATCTGACAAAACTGGCACTAGCTTCTATTAAAAAAACGCGAGAGGGTTTTTTAACCCCATTTTAAGGGGAGTTAAAATTTTACAGCAATTTCTCAGGTCTCTGCAGAAAACTGAGTTCAGCAAAACTCAGACTTCTTAAATAGAAAAGGCAAGTACCTGCCTTAATCCAAACCAGACTGCATAAATTGTGTCAGCAGCACAACAGCGCTGGTTTTCTGACAAAGGCTGCCCAAGGCACCAGTCAGGGGGTAAGCAGGTGTGCAACATTACATACGCACGCAATCCTATCGTTTTTACTATCAGAGACTACCTCAATACAAAACTACACAGCAGGTGAAGATTTTTTTCTTAATGTTTTTGTTTAGGGCTTACAGAGTACAACATGCTGCAGGTGATATTCAAAGAGGGAAGTACACCTAAAAGCTTATGAAGCCTTAATCTTTTTATTTCCTATTGAGTTTTACTGAGCACAAAACTCTTTAAGGGTAAACAACAGAACTGAGCTTGCGCAACTCCTTGTACACAATTTCATTAGGGAATCTGAAGAGTTAATGAAAAAAAGCTCGTGGCTCAGCAACACAACTGTCTGTGCTCTCCTCAATGCTCAAAGCTGGTATTAATATATCCATCCATCACTCAAGTGGGCTATTTGCATGTATCCTTACGCCTCACAAATAGCTGCAGAATTAAGAGATGCCTAATCATCGAAGCAGGCAACGTGTCAATTGTTGTGCTATTCTGCACGTTATCAAGGACGCTATTAAATCATGTCCTATCAACCAGCAGTGTATTTGCTTCTCTGAAGTTATACTGAAATTCAGTTATTTGGGTTGGTGATCTGATGCGTGCACAAGCAGAACTAGTCACCGATTTAAAAAATAAAACACTGGTCATGTCTGTTGATTTCTGGAAAGTAAAACTGCAGAGACCTTCACCCTACTCACTGTTACCTCAAAAAAGAAGCACCACATTCTTGCTATTTATTATGAATATAATAGTAATTAAGGTTACTTGAGATAAATTAACTGAAAGCACCGAATTTCCAATAACATTACAGAATGAATTTAATCAGTTCAACAGAAGACTCAATGAGTAAAATGGAAGTATTTTAAGATCTTAAAAACTTTAATCCAGCATAGAAAAAACACAAAGCCACCATTTAGGAAACCTAAATGCTAAGTTCAACCTCTGCATGTTCTAACTCCAGTCTCCCTGGCATCCTTCTAGCTTACATAAATACGTAGATCCAGCAGGACACAATGTGACTGAATAACAGTACAATTACAAGTACACATCATAGTTAATTCACAAGGTGGAAGTACCAAAACACTGTATCACACCATGGCAATTTTTTTTTCTTTAAGAAGTCAACAAAATAATTTACCATTGGTTTCCCATAAAACGGAAAGCCTTGTAGTTGTCTCAAAGCATTGGTAGATGATCCAAGTTCTTTAAATATAACAAACGCCTGTCCTCTCATCTTCATAGTCTTTAAAGCCACAATGTCCACCACATGACCAAACTGTGAGAATAGTGCATACAGGGACCTCTTCAGTTCTGTTGACCGTACGAAAAAAAATAATTATAGCAGGTTACATGCAAATCTCCACTTCTAGAGTCTTCTGTCCTTCAGGGACAATATTTTTTGCCAGCTTCAGCTCACACAGTGATACGTTACATGAATTTAGTCAAAACCGTTGCATGAGAAGAAGTTTATATGCCCAGTTTTTTAAGTTGGTGTATAATGCTTGGTTTCACACCTCAAGTATTCAGCTAGTGAAACAGCTGTACTGCCATCCATTCTACCATTCTAAGAGACTAAAAATTACACAAGCGTATGCATACACACTTTTTCATATACATATATATACACACTCACACACTCGAGTATGACAGCCACCAAAGACTGATCAGAAATTCAATACTGTAACAGGCAATAGTAAAGAGGTATGACTTCAAGCAAGAACATGGTGGAAGAGTAACTACTTAGAAAGGTAATTAAATTTGGAAAATTTGTTTGTAATGGTTTAATCAATTCTCTCATGCACATGAAATATTTTTTCATATTCTGGATCTGAACATGTTTTTGTATGACCACACTGTACCTTGCAACTGCAACTGATTTATTCTCATTATTTAAAATCAGCTGACTACATGCAAATTAAACCTTAATCTTATCCAGTCAAGCTAAACAAATCCTTTGTACTATGTTTTACATTCTAACTCACAAATCTTACATTTGAAGTATTTCAGCAACACAAGAGTACTGCCTCTTGTTTATTGCTGTTGAGACTTAGTAATACCAGCCCACTGTCACTTTGTCCAGCTGCTCTTGACCAACCACAGCATTGTATTTTTTTTTAAAAAAAAGGTTTTCTTATCAAAACACTTTCCCTAAAAATAACCTCCAAAACTGTATTAAAAAAAAAAAATAAAAATCACATTTGTAAGCTTTACAACTAACTTGAAACCCTACATTTGAAAATTATAACCACATAATGGAGACTTACTAGTTTACACGGCACTTAACATTCTACAAACAAAGCCCCAAGTTACATTTATTCAGGAGAACCATCTTGACAAGTTAATAAATAATTTCTCAACAAAGCTGTTTCCACTTTCAGATCGCACCCTGAAGAAAGATTTAAGCAGTGCTAGTCTGATCCAGTCCCTCAGCTCACAAACAACAACAAATAAATTACTCTGATCACTTCGTATTACAAGCTAAGCCTGAGTATTAAGTGGATGGTTCTATGCAGACATTTAATGTACAGCCAGACAAGGGCAAGAGATTTTTTCTTTTTAGCACACTTTGAGGAGCTACAATTCCTCAGCATGAAGTCATTGCTCTCTAGAGGGCTGCAGCAACTGCAAGGCAGCGTCTGACACGATGCACAGCAGGCCAGCTCATGCCACGTTCACTGCTTTTGCATGGTGCTAAACCAAACGAGGGACACACAATGTCCCCCCACATTTCAGCAAGAGGGGACTGCTGACCACCGAAACGTATGCCGAATGCCTCTTAGCATCCATCAGATATTCTCATTGCTCTTATCGTTAATTATCCACTGCCAAACAAACCTAACATATGCAGTTAGCTACACTACTACAGCAGAGAGGCCATCGGAAGCTTCCTTAGAAACAAGGGCCGTGTCTTATAGCCTTGAACATCGTGCTAATTTCGGCTAGTGCTTCATTAGGAGCAGCCAGTTGCTGACAGCTTGGTTTGCGACCACCACCTTCGGAGAGCCCTGGAGCCCCTGCGGCCACGGCACTGACGAAACGCCAAGTCCTGCGTGAGAGCACACGACCAGGAGCGGAAGCCAACCCGATAGGACAATGCCCGCTTTCCAAAGGCGAGTCACCGCCACCGGTACCTTCTTTCTTAATCTTGTCATTGATGTTGTTGATGTAGATGGTGT